TACATGTTCTTTCATTTTCAAGCAATTTGTAAAGGCCTGTCTGTTGTTGACGGTGAACTGTGTTTTTCTTTACCGCAATGTAAAACTAAAAGGAAAGTTCGCACGTCCACGTTACAAACCGGCCATGCGTGTTGAGAAACACAACCATTTTAGGAAGTTTCGCTTGTGCCAGGCCACCACCATGACAGAGATACTACTAGTACATGTAGCACCATGGTACTTGTTTTTAAAAGTAGATGCAGTAGCAAACGGCGATGGTGAGATGGTAATACAACCAGTGATCGACAACGGGGCAAACTTCGTTAGCCGCATCCACGTTCTCCCTCGTTCCCAGTAAGGAATACCCAGTTGATCGTGATTTAAAAATTATTTAGTTTATTATTATTATTTTATTAGTTTGACAAAAAAAGCGTGTACTAATATTCATCTCCATGATCCAACCACCAGCCCCAGGCACCGTACCACCAACTCGGACCGATCTCGACGCATTGCAACAGCACACCATCAGGAAAGCGAAGGTTTGCTAGGAAAGGGTGCACTTACGTCGTTGAGTGTGACTCGTAGCATCTGTTCAGTGACAGCAGCGATCCGATGAAGAGGATCATTAGCCAGGACTGCAAGGTCACGTACGCGCTACTCCGCGCACATATCAAGTAAAAGAATACAACTACTTGATGCTAATGGGAGGTTGTCACATCTTGGTTTTGTCCTAGGGGCGCATCGATAATGGCCACCAGTCAAGAGAACGCGTCACGCTAATCACATCTCCTATCGTTCTGCTTGCGCTGGATAATAACATTAGCCAAGATCATTACGATGACATAGCACACACACACACGCATACACATGAGCACGCTCCAGCACACTCCACACACGAAAAAGGCGTCTTGGCCTGGGATGTCGCGAAAGTGCACAAGGTTCGTGAGTGCTTGCAGTCGTGTGTATTCTCAAATAGTCCATGCAGCTATTGCGCTGAGAAGACACTGATCCCAACAAAACACAACACATTGCCCGTCTGAGTCGTCTCCACAGCCCTGTCCATATGTGTTGCGTCTGTATACATTCAACGCTAGCTCCGGAGAACTTCTTTTCTTCTTTTCAAGAGGTTGAAATCCATACTTCCTGGTAACATTGGAGACGTACCAAGCACCAGTGTCCACGCAACGGAGTAGTGACGGGAACTGGTCGCTCCAGTTTTGGATCTGCCAGGTACAACATACAATGGTCATGTAGGTGAACTTTCTCCGTCATCGCCCTCCAGCTACAATGTACGTCAGCGCAATGATGATCAATAGTAGATTCAATACGCCTGTGTGCAGAGGAGATTGACTGTGACTTTCACTTGGCTTTGCCTGGTACCACCCTCTCTCAGAAGCCTCTTGTACGGGCAATCACAAAGGATGACATCACAGGCGTAACAAGTAACGAAAATGCATAAAAATGTAACATAGCCTCGTCGATAATAGAAAAATGTACATTATAATTGATAAGTCTGTAATCTCGTACCATCCAGTCACAAATACTGGACACACAAACAAGCCCGCGCACGTGCATACAAGTACACTCTACTGATCTGGTATACCAATACAGTCATACTCGTGTACTCCTTTTTTTACCCTTTGAGGTGCCAATGAAGGCGTGCAAATATGCAATTGCACTTCACTCCACCATTTCCACCATAGGCATAGCGTACGTTCTGTTTGCTTCATTTAGAGATCTGATACATGTAGTGTACATGTACACCACGTCCATGTCACAATTGAGTCGCGCGATGGTTGATCGTGTAGAACACACAGCCTATGAAGTTCAGACTCACTGTGACTTGTTGCGCACGTGTTTGTAGTGTGTGTTCATGTTTACTGGTGGACATGGAAATATCACTCACTTTCTGGCCTTATTGGACACTGGCAGCTCTACTGAGAAAGTGCGGCACATAGTCATTTCAGGATCTCGCCTCCCTCAGCGAGAAACAGACTAGCACCAAACGTCTGCAATCCTCTTGCTAGTTCAATGTGCTGACTGCCATTGATTTGGAGTGGACACCTGATTTTCGCGGTTAAATTCACGATGGATAGGACAGACGCGGAACGTAAATGTACATGTACAGGTATGCGATGACTTAAGAAAATAAAACGTGTCGTGGTATAACAGTAGTTACGACTTACGTGAACTTTGTTGAAGTATTTTAAAATTAAATTGGTTTCCTCTTGCTAACACAATGTACATTGCACCATACCTAAATCGAGGTGCAATGGACGAGTTAGCGGATTGTTCTAGCATCGCACCGGTTAAAGTGTCGCACGCACAGCATCTACAATGTACATTGTACAATATTGCTACATGACATGTATGGCATCAGTCGATTCCACTTTGAAGTTCTATCAGACTCTTGACTTCAGTCTTCTCAACTCGATGGATGCGTCTCAGTTCTCACCCTCCTGTCGCTCGTTAGTTCACACTGCAAGAGGTAAGATGCTGACACTGACCACTTGACTCAGTGCTTGTCCTATAAAGCTAATTGCAGATGGTAGCGTGCCAGATGTGAAATATACCAGTAGTACTGCAGTAGTGGTGTACTGGAGACCAGGACTATCATCCGCAACTAACCCTGAATCCTACTACTAGTATGCGATTTGGTAGCCCCATCGCCATCGTCGTCCTGTCCAGCCACTGTTTCCTATAACTATACTAGCACTAGTACAATGACTCCAGTGCCATACTCCATTACTCCCTTGATACCGGGACAGAATGTCTTCAACACCACATACTATACTTTGTATAGTACGCAGCTGGTTTATCGACTCAAGTTCATACAGACTGTCAAAGATGATAAAATTTATAAGAACAGATTAGGATATGACAGATTCCCGTGCTAAAGACTATTTCAAAACTCGGATGTTGAGCCAATACTGGCAATAGTAATTATGTAAAGAGAAGTCAGTCATAATTAGTAGCTTATAGGTACTTTTCTCGTTACATTATTACTTCAGTATGAGTTTTGGCATATTCTACGAGTACATGTAGACTACTAAGATTCCACAAGCCCAAGATCGTGCAACTATGATATCCCAGTGATCATTATGGGTGTCCTGCGCATGTGGCAAAATGTTGCGCAATTAGAGTATTATTGCAATCACCTCCTTTACATTTTCGCCTCCCAATTTTGCGCTATTGAGTCTTTCGATTAAAACAAAAGTATAAATTCCCACTTGGAGAACGAATTGCACGTGCCGTGAGCATTCCCTATGGCACCATTCGTCCTCCTTGTTGCTGTATTAAACCTGTTGTCTCCGAAAAGGTTGTTCACCAATTACTACAGTCATAATGTCATTGTATGTCGGTCCACTGGTGCGCGGCAACATTAGGTGTTAGGAGGAAATTCGATTATTGCGTGCGGTTACCATGCCAGGGAGATCGCTGTACCTAAACAGATGTCCGAGCAGATGCACCATTTTTCTTTGGCCCTATGCATGCGCGTCGGGTAGATATTACTCGATAGCAGCAGAAACAGCTTCTCATCTGTGCATACCAGGTACTTGCACAGTAGGGCTCCCTGCCGTGAGCTTGATGAACAAGAAATCCTCTCGACGGTGCAGGGAGCCCTTCGCATAAAATGTACGTGGAATGTGCAGGAGTCCCTGGTCTCAACAAGGAATGCATTCAAGGTACATGTACAACGAACAAAAGCGAGCAGAGCAAGATATGTATGTGGAGACAGCATCTTGTGCTTCAGCGAGTATAAATATACTACCACAACATTACACAAAACCAAGAGTAATAAATTAACCTCCCAAAGAGCGTATTTGCTCTCGATTTTAAAGACTCATTAACAGGAAAGATGTAAAATGACTTGAGTTGAAATAAGAAATCAGAAGTGAAAAGAGAAAGAAAAATGTAAATTGATGGGAGTCCCGGTAAAAGAGAGAAAAGAAGAAAAAACAAGCATCTTCGCAGTCTTGATATTGCAGTAGATTCAAAGCCTCTATGCCATGCGTCTCGTAGAAAACTATCTCAAGTTGCGGAGAAAATGTACTACTACTTGTACTTGGAGGCTACAAATAAATGAGGTTCCTTTCTGTCGACCTGTCCACATGTCAGGGAGTCGTAAAACATGTGTATAAGCAGAAATATTCGTCTGGAATTTAATTTCGTATTTTTCGTCCAAGGAACTTTTGGACTAAATTAAGTGCCGGACTAATGTCGATTTGTCCAGCTTTTCTATACGCTATTATGATCCATGGACGAAATTTTCAACCGGACGAACTCCCTTTCTTAGGAGTCGGACGAAACTTTTGACCGACGAAATGTTCTGCCTCTACAGTAACTAACGTTACCTACTGTAACTTACGCCTCCCTGTGTAAGCGGCCTCCATAATGTGGACAGGAGGCCAGGGATCGCTAAACATGTTCTAGTTGATATTGTACATACACACACGTACGTATCCGATTGTGCAGAGCTCCCTGAACCCTAGCTAGCTAGCCAGACCTTATGTGCAGCTTTGCATACGCGCCTGGCACTGGCCTAGTGGTAGGTTCCAAGCAGCTCTGAAGTGAGTCGTTGATCAGAGACAGAGGGGCGCACGTTTTGTTTCCACGAGCATGTTGTTCGTTCAACGCCCCTCCCTACTTGACGCAGTACTTGCATGAAGCTAGAGAATGCGGAAAATCGTCTGAGTACCCTTGATACTCTCTCCAAATGCACACTAAGGTTGTAAGGAGGCCTGGCTTGTGTTAGCTGCACAGCACTGCTATGCTGCCGTCACGTCTCCCTGCCGTGTCCAACTCGCGTGTCCCACCGCATGGCGTGTCCACGCCAGTGTTTAGCAGGTAGCTGGCGCTCCATTGTTGACAGCTAGCTAAGCAATAACTGACACTCAACGTTACTGCATTCTATAATCCAGAGTGCAAACTGTGAACTGATCCGGCGATTCATAATGCATACTATTACTAGTACGGGAGTCACAGACGTGAGACCTATAAATGCTCGGCTGACGACGACTTGGATCACCTTCTTGTCAAGAAGCAACATTGCAACATTTTCCGGCTCAGGTCGGAAGTTGTCTACATTATTCTCGCAAGTGTATTGCAGCATTTTCCGTCCAGAGAAAGTCAGTGGTATGCCGATTTGTCTAAAGCTATAAGTTATGCCTTATCCGGGAAATCTTCAGAGCTGGACCGCAGCGGCTACCGGCAGCGATGAGCAGGTAGCCTCATTTTCCGTCTCGGAGGGAGGTTTGTCGCATTTAGCGCGTCGTATTGAATCATTCCCTCCTGCAGCCCAGTCGGCACCTGTCAAAAATGAAGCAAGTTTTATACATTCGCCAATGGTGACGTATAACAGTCCGACGGTTAGCGCCCCGCTCAATACCAACCAATGGAGCACTGTGCCCCGACCGGCGGGCGTTATCAATCATGCCCAGGCCAATAGGTATGCTCCGTATAAGCCATTGCATGGTCCTCATGGCCCTATTCAAGGGGTGCAACATGGCCCCATCGGGGTGTACTCCAACCTTCCCTACCGAACGGTGCCTGTTCCTAGAAGTCTGCCTCTATCCGCAATGACTGGTTCCACAACGTATGACCCAAGCAATCAGCCACTGTCGGCCAACAGCACAGGCCTGGCCAGTACAGAGGCCCTACTGTCACCGCAGACCTCGTCATTTGCCATGCCAACAATGACGCAAAACACTGTCAATGTGCGGCCAGTGACCAACGCGCTCCTGTCACCCGTACCTACTCCGGGGGACCTGACGCCCAAAACACCAAGCTTTGCCCCCAAGGAGAAGAAGGCAACCAGACCGTATAAACTGCCTGTGGGAGCGGCCAGGAAGGCAGCGGCAGCCAACGAGTAAGTCGCATGGCCTCATACTTACAGACCAAACAAACTGATTCTTTTAATTACTTGAAGTAATAAATAATTTGGAAGCAACTCGCCTACACTCAAATAAGTACTGCATTTCGCACACAATCCAGTAGTCTCGTCAACATTTCGGTCTTTTTGACCATCGTCAGGAATGAAGTGGCTGTGGAACAAAGCAGCGATATACAAAGCCATCAAACAAGCGGGACCAAGTGATAACGCGCGTAAAAGAAAGGCAGTCAGAGAGAAAAGAAAGGGAAGGTGCTAACCTCACTCGAAGTTAACATTCAAAGGAAAACAAGCACGTCTGGACCTGGAGATGCTCGGAAAATAATTGAGTGAAATCACAGACACAGAGCCTGTTTTAGAAGAGAATAGTAAATAGTACATGGTGAGGTGTACTTGCTCGGGTCTTGGGTGAGTTTGGGTGCTCGTAGATTCTACTGATTGCATTTCATATTGTTGTGGTCAGAGGTACCCTTCTGAGTCTGAATCGGTACATTGGCGAGAGAGTAAACAAGGTCGGATTCACTGCGCACAATTCGGATCATTACGGAGGGTGCAAACCGCATTTCTGACACGGCCTGGATATGGGTTCAAACAAGAGGATCCGGGTTCACGGCACCCCATATTTAGTCGAGTGAATAGAGTGCACAGTCACATTTCACTCGACCAGCATGACAGCAAATGTTACCAGTATTCTTGGGAGATTGGTGTGGGAGTGACAGCAAATGTTCCAATCCTTGTAGTATGATTTAGGATGGGTGTCGTAGGAGTGACACTCTGTGATGGTGTGGAACACCCATGGCACACTGGTAGAGTACCAGATGAAGGGGGTAGGGGGTAGGGCACTGCCAGTCCTAACACAGCCTCTTGTGCCTTCTTGTTCTTCATGATTCCTGCGACATGCAAAGGATGGACAATGACCGTACGCTCTGCGTGACTGTGAAACGCTCTTGAGTGTAGCTGCTTGTTTCGTATGTACACCAGTCAAAACATGTTGCGACAGGCATAGACATTGTCATTGTCGAATGCTTTGGGTGACACTATAGATATGGATGTGAGTGGTTTAAGGTGTGCGAAAATTCAGCTCAGACCTTGTGAGGGAGTTTTTCTGTCGTGCTGGCCAGAACGTGCAGGCACCTTGCTCAGGGCCATTTCTAGAGGATGTTATGCCATCCACCCAGGGCCAATCTGACACACTGCTAAGTGCTCTGAATAACCATCATCTGCCTGGAGTGCACCTGGTCAAGTTGTACCCAGACCAGCTAGGGCTTTCTTGATCAGCCCATGTTGATGGCATGCCTAGCGCCTGCAGACGTCCTCTTAAAGCTACCCACACTGGGCCACAACACTCTTGGATGGTGTGGAACGACCGAGTACAGTAACAGTCTGGGCACGTGCTCGTACTACTTGTGTTAGATACTTGCCTTAGGTACTCAGAACTAAGTCAGTAGCCGATCTGTGACACATGATACACACGGCCAAGTCGGCGAGGTGCTCACGAGGCAATGCCCACACAATGGGAGCCATCATTCAATGAGGCCGGGGTGTATCCCTACGTAGCATGCCCATATCGGCATGTACCTAGCTGTCTAACCAGGAACGTGACCGGACGGTGAAGGGATACTATGGGGAGATGTGATCCATGAACAAACAAGTCTCTTGCACCAGGTGCCATTCCACAGTCCACTCCACTGATTGGCATAAACAACCCACCAGGTATAATGCACATGCACGCTGAGCCTAAGGCACGCGGCATGGGACCTGAACAGAGAGGGTGTCTTTAATTTAAGACGATGGCTCATGAGACATTGCCAATGCATGTTTCCAAAGCCAATGGACGCTCATCACAGGGAGTGACCGAGTTTCCTAAAGCCGAGCAAAGGCAAAGAGGTGAGAGGGGTGGGGGTCATGAGGAATGGGAAGAAGGAACTCATGGCAGATAGGAGTTTTAAAAGTTGTTGAGTGCAGACTGTGGATCACTTCTGGCAGCATATATTCCAGCTAACACTAAGTCACAGTAGAGTACACCGCATCGGAGGCCCATTCTGTGAAGCACTACCATCGATCCCCCCCCCCCCCCCCCCAGACTATACTTAGTAACACATGCGCGGCAGAGTTCACTTTCTCAATTCAACGACTGGGTAAAGTGTTTATAACCGACTGGTTCATTACTTCCAGAGCTCGCCTCATTACAATTGAAGAAGGTGTAACAGACACTCGTCGCGCTTCGTTGCATATGCATGCACGGGTTCTAAATGTCCGATACACGCATGGAAGAGACACACTAATTTTGTTTCATTCTTTTCACACGGTGTGAACGTCTGTACAGAGAGAGAGAGAGAATTTGTCACTAAGCACTATGGCAGCAACAATACCTGCCTGTGTGTGTGGAAGAAATACGATACGTATGCACATGTATACTGCACTCATCACTTGGTCCTGTCCTGGATCGTAATCATAGCTCCAGGCACTGAAACCTAAAGCACTCGACACTAATCAATTAGCACTAATTTCGGACTACGTTTAGTAGATCATGAAGTATGTTAGTGTCAATGGAAAGCGTGACTCTTTTTAAATACCTTGAGTGAGCAGACTGTCTAGTTTCATTTCAACATGTCACCAACTGTGTACTAGTATCCTGTTAGTTTCTGATCATGCCCTTAACACAAGTCCTGCGCAAGATGCGTGTCTGCGGTGTATTATCATTCTGGACAGTGCGGAAAAATAATTAGGTTTACAGAGCCGTGCCTTTGCCCATAGACACGTTGTCACGTATTACGTCACGCTGAAGTATGTGTCACTTGTCACTAGTACTAGCCAGGATCAAAGATGGAACGATTGTGTGGTAATCGAGAGACAACGATTGTGTGGTAATCGAGAGACAACGATTGTGTGATAATCGAGAGACAACGATTGTGCGGCAATTGAGAAGTAACACTGCAAAGTGCAAGCAGGGTTGGAACAACATCACCTGATATTATTAGTGCTGGGTTGGTTGTTTAGTTTGAATTCACGAGCGGAACGGACTGCACAAGATCCAATGAAAAAACCAATTTAATGAGGTCACAGCCACCCAGCAATGAGGCGATTTCCATAAAAGAGACGAAATGGAGGAGCCACAGGAAGTAGGAAAGAAAGAAAGGTTCGGTGAGGTGTAAGTATTCCACGCGCACACACACGTTTTCGTTGGCATGCAATCAGAGGACTGAACTTGCAATCTGGCTGGCTGGCGTTCACTGATATAGCTGGCTGGCGTTTCAACGTCGAAGCTACAACACACAACAAGAGAACCTAGAAGGTCTACCTGGTCCGGTATTTGCATAACTACAATGTATTGTACTTAACTCGCAGTCTGCTTTTTCCCATTTTATTCTCCTTCTAGATCTCAAGTCAGCCCAAGCAGTGAAACAAGCGGAGGATTGTCACCTCTGGACAGTTTTCGTGTTCGATCCTGGCCCCTGCGCGTATGGTTGTACAACCACAGGAACAACCCATACCCGAAGAGAGCTGAGAAGTGCAAGCTGGCGAAGGAAGTCGGCTGGACGCCCGACCAAGTGTCGATGTGGTTCGCAAACACTCGACGGCGAATCAAGAAGGTCGGCATGGATGTCTGGTCGGGTGGAGAGTACAACGATCTGAACTTGAAGGACACCAAGGTTTCCACAAAGTCTCCAAGTAAGTGCTAGACTGCAGCTCACTGTACAGTGCGTGTGTGTACAATCATGTGCATACTGGTTTCTTCAGTTCATTGTTTGTTTGTTATGACTCCTGTCTAGGCATTGTGTGGTAAGTGCGTGTACATGGTACATGTTCACTTGTATAGAGTAGAGCAGCACCGTGCACTCTAAAGCAATGGTGAAAACAACCCGTAATTCAACCCCCACTTCTCCCCACCCCGTCCATGTACAGAATAGTGTACAGTGTATCATGTCAGATTGCCTCTTCCGACTTGTAACGTCCGACTTGTAACGTCCGACTTGTAACGTCCGACTTGTAACGTCTGACTTGTAACGTCTGACTTGTAACGTCCGACTTGTAACGTCCGACTTGTAACGTCCGTCTTGTAACGTCCGACTTGTAACGTCTGACTTGTAACGTCTGACTTGTAACGTCTGACTTGTAACGTCCGACTTGTAACGTCTGACTTGTAACGTCCGACTTGTAACGTCCGACTTGTAACGTCCGACTTGTAACGTCTGACTTGTAACGTCTGACTTGTAACGTCCGACTTGTAACGTCCGACTTGTAACGTCCGACTTGTAACGTCCGACTTGTAACGTCCGACTTGTAACGTCCGACTTGTAACGTCTGACTTGTAACGTCCCACTTGTAACGTCCCACTTGTAACGTCTGACTTGTAACGTCTGACTTGTAACGTCCGACTTGTAACGTCCGACTTGTAACGTCCGACTTTTAACGTCCGACTTGTAACGTCCGACTTGTAACGTCTGACTTGTAACGTCTGACTTGTAACGTCTGACTTGTAACGTCTGACTTGTAAGATCCAACTTGTACAATCATTATCTTTTCGGGCGTGAATCCCTAGATGGGCAGCAACATGGATTAGTATACCTATCAACTTCAATGTGGAGAGAGGGAGAGATAGAGAGAGTGTGTGTATATGTGTGTGTGTGTGTGTGTGTGTGTGTGTGTGTGTGTGTGTGTGTGTGCGGGTGTGTGTGTGTGTGTGTGTGTGTGTGCGTGTGTGTGTGTGTGTGTGTGTGTGTGTGTATGTGTGTGTCACCGTGAGAGAGAGAGAGAGAGAGAGAGAGAGAGAGAGAGAGAGAGAGAGAGAGAGAGAGAGAGAGAGACAGGGAGAGAGAGAGGGGGGTAGGGTGGGGCCAGAGAACTCTATGTCCTACCCCACCCACCCACCCAAACACGCACACACACTCTCTCTTTCTGTGTACGTGTTATCAGTGAATTGTTGTGTTACTGTGGTATGGAAAGGCAATCTTCGGCTGCGTTAAGTTAACATGAACTTTGTTGACCCGGAGATTACTGATATGCCGAAAAAGGAAAAAAGTGCAGTCTCTCTCTTCCTCCCCCCCCCCCCTCCCCCTCTCTCCCTGTCTGAAATGTCTTCTCACTCACACTTTACACCAAACCATGACCTCTAGAAACACACTGGTATTCTAACTCAGTTGCTGTCTCTTCTTCTTCTTGTGTGCGGGTTGTCTTGCAGCCATTCGCACGCCCTCACCTAGCTACTACCTAACGCCACCAATGTCCTCACCTCTGGAACACCACAGTGCAAGTACATGCGTGGACCAGGTATCAGCACCTGTACAGCCTATCACCATGCAGCCACTGAACTGAGCACATGTGTACGTCACGTGACGTACTCTTGATCAAAGCATATTCGAAACTGAGAGATTTTTCTGCTTATGCACCTGAACTACCTATTCTGATACCACTCAACGGTCCCATAGCCCCATGTAGGAAAGCACACAGCAGGCACAACAATGACTATTACAGCCTAAAAAAAGAACGAAATTATTATTCATCAGCTGCGAGGGATTGAATGAATACTTGTAATAATATTGGCACACGTAGAGACGATTATTCTTTCTTTCAACCATTTTTTTCAAATTTCAACTGAGTGCTTGACGTAATTATTCATTGAAAGAGAACCTACGGATTTACATGAATCGTTCGATTCGACATTATGTATGCAAGCATACGTTCCTATCAAAACCCCGGTCAACTTCTAAACCATGGTGAAACACTTTGTTTTAGCAGTGCCAATGGATTTACTCTTCCTCTGTTCACAGTTGGTACTGTGCAGTGCCACATGCTACTGCCAAAGAAGGCATTGCCATAGTGGTGGCGCAGAACAATAGCATGGAATTCAGTGATCTGCAGTAAAGAACGCCCAGTTGATTCACTCCTTGATCCCTCGCTCCTCTGTTTTCAGTTTATTATCTTCACTGATTTATTCAATTCAACTTTTGTTAGTCGTCCTGGTCTCACTCCAGCTTTTCAAGTAAACACTGATTGAGGATTATTATTGTAATTTTTAACCATGACAAACAATGGCAATGACCAGAATGTTGCACTGACCGAGTGGACAGACTGTTGTGTGGGGCGGAGTCAAAGTATTATGTTATACTACCGTATTCGTGGAAACTGCATCCAAACACCGAAGCCCCAAAGCAAAACTTGGCTAGTAATGGCAACTGTTAGGGGAGAATTAGAGAGACTTACCAGACCAACAGAGGAGCTGGAGCTTCAGTGCTGTACTGCAGAATACAATTTGAAAATCTCCTTCTCCCTCAAAGGTGCGCGCTGTACCGTTATCCCGAGACAAGCTTATACGGGAACGCTTCACATCACCTACATGCATGTCCTGCTCGTGTAGCATCTACATATCTAGCTACATGCATCTCTTAACACCAACTAGACCAGATCCGGAAGTACTGAGACATTCCACGACATGAAAGTGAACTAAGTCTTGAGTACTGTAAAACCGGAAAGTCTAACGAGTCACAAAGTCTAACGTTATTATTATTATAGCAATAAAAACTGCTTTATGGCAGTTTTCTAAAAAAAGTTATTGTGTTCTAGTCCATGGACCCCGTCTAAAAAGTAAGAAATTAACGAAATGTGATAGCCGAAAATTAAAATTTCACACAAAACCTCACAATAATCACAACAGTTGAAATGCTGCTTTCAACACTAAACTTGTACTGCACCAACAATTGGCAACATGCATGTCATGTATGCATAGGAAAGAGGATCGATATCACGAGGGGAAAAGGTCTTCTACATGTAGCTTTTCATTCTGTGTGTGATTATTGTGAGGTTTTGTGTGAAATTTTAATTTTCGGCTATCACATTTCGTTAATTTCTTACTTTTTAGACGGGGTCCATGGACTAGAACACAATAACTTTTTTTAGAAAACTGCCATAAAGCAGTTTTTATTGCTATAATTTCTTTTGTTTTTTCTGTCACCAATCAATGGAATGCCCTACATCAATATGTAAATGATGGCCTTCACATCATATCAATACCGTATTATACGCATTGAGGTGCAAGTCTTTTCTTGCAGAAAATGGCACTAGGCTAGCATGTTCTTCTGCGGGGAAACATGTGAGTAGTGATGGACCGTGGTGATACTTTTTTTTATACGGAGGTCATTCTGTGCATGTTGCTGTTGCAGAATTTCATTGTCTTGCCTTTCAGATATTTCAGATTTCCCCACCCTGGATCAGATTTATTTGAGAAATGTAACCAGGTGCGTGTCGCAGATGTTTTTGTTGATTCTGTGTTTATAATGGTTTATAATCATGGGTTATCGTGATAAGGTCATCCTGCATCATATTGCACTGAAATCGTAATCCTGTTGATGTCGATACAACTTTTGGAAGTAGTTCAATGACTTCAAACTGTTAGTCCACGATTTTCTAAAACAACACAGCAAAGGAGGAACAATAAACATGTATTAAAATGTAAACAAAGCTGAGTCCGACACCTCGTTCCAACAACTACACTGATCCTGAGGATAAAAGGGGCAAGGCTATGCTTGGAGGTACTGAGAGATAAACAAGGCACTCCATAAATAATAAAATCTTACACATATTTTGGTGAGTATGAATGATATCCAGTCGAACCTCTTTAGGATGAACACCAAGGGACCGATGGTATTTATTCTGTGAGTTTGTCTTAACCTATTTTATATATATAACCAGTGAATACAATTATTTCTCCAATAGACATACGAATAGATTTCTTCTACAGCGAAAGATTCTAAGCCACACCAACTCATTGACTAGTCTCGTATGAAACAAATGAGTCACTAGAGAGGTTCTGCAAAACGAAAATGCGTACAAACTTTCGTTCTACGTCATGAAGTGCGAAACCTCGCACGAACTTTGGACGCGAAACTTGCAGGGAACACGAAATGAACTGTCGTAGGAAATTCCGTGAGATCGGGTCATGGCGTACGTGCACTTGGCCCGCGCAAACTACGAAAATGTGCAGAACGCAAAGTTCGTGCAAAAATTTGTACACACTTTCGCAAGGACTGTCGCGAAACTTCGTTCGAATTTTCGTTTTGCAGAACCTCTCTACTGAACGTTTCTTTAGCAACATGACGGCAACTGAAACAGCAATAGAGAAAGTACGATACATGTACAGCACATTCCTTCAGGTACTACAAACAGATTGCAGATCGTAATTCTTGCTTTGGCGGCACGAAACTTTATTTGGAGCAGTGCAATCTCGGCGGTACTCACAAAATAGTAAATCAAACAGCCCCAGACTCGAGTAAACAAATCCAATCACACAAGTACGAGATCTTCACGAGACGAAACTGCACCCATTGGCTTGTTTCGTTTGAAGCAAACAAGTTTACTGAACCTCTCCACAATGGAGATTTTCCCTGATACCGTATGCGAATTTATTTTGCAAACTCAGTCAATGGGTCCTTGAATCTTTCCCTCCAGATTGGGAACTGCCAACGATAGTATGCCACTGACCAGTGCCTTACTTGTAACGTACCAGTGTACAATGAATATGAGTATTTCGACAACACATCTAACATGAGCCTTACCGTCAAGAAGGTGAACTCGCGTTCTTCGCACACTGTAGACAAGGGCAAAGAGATAAAAATGGATCTAAATCCGAATAAAATCAGCACACGTTTCCGTAAATGAAAGGGTGAGCATAAGCAAATGAATCGAAGGAAACAGGTCAACTCAGAGATCACCTGTCATCGAGTATTCCGTAAAAGGAGGCCTCGGCAGCGGAAAAGCTAAATTTAGAAAGGAGATCCTGTCAGCTTTTCCATTATTTATTGCATTCCGCCCAAAATCAGCACACTTTTCGTAAATGAAAGAGTCAACACAAGCAAATGAATCAAAGGGAACTGGTCAACTCACCTGTCATTGAGTAATATTCCGCGAAAGGAGGTCTCAGCAGCACCGAAACGAAATAAGGCAGGCCAGGAGACGAAATATCCGAAACAGCTCATACAAGAAGCAGTTCCAAAGAAGGAAGTTCCTCGCGCATGCACATCCGAACACGGACTTCAATTCACTGCAACACAATGTCTGCCGGCTGCCGTGCACGTGCACAGCACGCGGCTACCACCCGTTGGTAGATCTAATACCGAGCACCTTACGTAGAGACTTACGTAGCCTAAGTGAAATACCGAGCACCTTACGTAGAAACTTACGTAGCATAGCGATGTCGTTTTTCCTGCCATGTGAACACAATAATAGAAAAGCTGACAGGATCGCTTTTCTAAATAAACGACCAATTCTTTTTCGTTATTTGAAAAAACCGTTATAGCTAGATGTCTGTGTAAAGATGCACATGCCGATGGATCGCCAGGTAGCCATCGTTAAACTTTCTGCACGTAATCATGTCAAAATTACAAAAAACGTTAAACTTTTTGGTCGTTAGACTTTTCGGTTTTACAGTACTGCCCGAAAGCGCTAACCAATGGCCTTCCAACTTATTTTATTTATTTATTTATATGTATTTATTCCAAGCAATACATGACTGGAGTAGCCAATGACCACTTTGCGTGGCGATTGCAGGGTTTTTATAGCCAACCATGGCTAACAAGGAAAAGAGTAAGAAGTCAAAAAGAAAAGGAAAAGAAGAACGAAGCAAATATGGACTAAAATTGTGGACTACTGGTAAAGCAAGGCGTTCCTGAATGCTGTTAAAGTAGAACTTGGAAGGTTCATGGATAATAGTGATAATTGCAAAGGGGGGAAGGTAGTTCCTTTGCTCACCATCTGAGTTCTACAAGTACATGCATCTACATGTATGTTGACCTACATGTCATCGGGCTCAGCGCTTCCTGTTTACTGTGCAAAGCAAAATAAACCCAAACAAACAAACAAATAAGCAAACAACAAACAAACGTGCCTCTACATGCCCTTCCGTTTAGTGTCCACTATGTCCTGTTTGTTGTTGTTATTTTTCTTCATTTCTATGCGGGGATGTGCACTTCATTAACCAATACATGTACAGTCGACACTAGTCATACCCAGTTGATGGCACCGCATGAGCAAGGAAACCATGGTAACAAGCTCCACGGGCCGCCACTGTCACAAAGCGACATGCGACCCACGCAAAATCACACAAAGAAGAGGATTCCATGCGAATATTGTGAATTTCGCTGCGGAAAAGTGGTATTAGGACTGACTTGACAGCATTGCTAACAAACTGGCAGAAAACAATCATAACAACCAGTTATTTTTCAAGGATTGCCTGTATGCCATTTAGACACAGACACAGGGTGTGAAGAGCATGGAAGCTTAACCTCAAAGCACCCAATCTTCCAGATGTAACTGCATACGTAGGGCCAAGCAGAGCAGTCTGAACGTTACTTGCAAACGTGTACACCGTACTAGAACACCCATGACAAAATGAGGCAGACAACAGCCACAGCTGCAGGACACAACCCAACATGAGTGCCATTGGCTCAAGAATAATACCAAGTATGGGCCGACACACAGAAAATACAACAACTGGGTGACAAGTGACAGAAACGGTTGAAAAAAAAAGAGACATTCAACAAAGAAAGAAAAAAAGAGAGACATCAGGATGGGCTGTGAACTTACTCAGGCTCTTGAAGTCGAATGATTCAAGTCAGCCGTATCAGTGCAGAAAGTGTGTGTGTGTGTGTGTGTGTGTGTGTGTATGTGTGTGTGTGTGTGTGTATGTGTGTGTGTGTGTGTGTGTGTGTGTGTGTGTGTGTGTGCGTGTGTGTGTGTGTGTGTGTGTGTGTGTGCGTGTGTGTGTGTGTGTGTGTGTGTGTGTGTGTGTGTGCGCGTGTGTGTGTGTGTGTGTGACAACCAGGAGCTGCGAAGACGCTGGGGTGATATGGCACTGCCATCTGATACCGTCAGACACCGCCGTCTGCAGTGGCTTGGGCATGTCGCCAGAATGCCAGATAACCGGCTTCCGAAGCTGATACTGTTTAGCTTCTTCTCAGATCCACGCCCAGCCTGTGGGCCACGACTGCGATGGAAAGACCTCGTCGCACGTGATCTTCGTTTCGGTGGCATAGTGAATTGGCTCACTTTGGCTCAGGATCGCCCAGCATGGCGCGAGGCAATTGCAAAGACTCCGGATGATCTCGTGGAGTGTAACAACAACAAAGTCACCTGCAAGGTTTGCAACCGATCATTCACTGCTCGTGGGATTCACCGTCACAAGTGCTCAGCTGTACGGTCCTTACCTGTTGCCCAGCAGCCTGGGGCCCGTCACTGTGGAGTTTGTGACCGCTGGTTTCAAAGCGCTGGCGGTTTTGCAGTTCATCGTTGTGTGGAGCGTCAGACATCGGACGAAATACCAGCTGTTTCAACGAGATGCAGCCTGAATTTGGACTGCTGCCAGCACCATTGCTCGATCTGTGATCGCTGCATGAAGAGTCAGGCTGGTTTTAACCGCCATAATTGTACTCGAGGCAAACGACTGCGAAAGGACCAGAGGACTAATCTGCCCATTCAATGCAGCATATGTAACGAACGATTCTCCCGCCCGCAGGACCTCACCCGCCACCGAAGACAGAAACACTAGCTATGTGTAGAACGGTCCCCTTTCACCTCAATTATTCTCCTTGTTTCTTTTTTCTCGCTGTTGTCTCCCGCTTCTGGGAGCGACGTGGCCATTTTGTGGCAGTTGTACATAGTAGTAGTAGTGTGTGTGTGTGTGTGTGTGTGTGTGTGTGTGTGTGTATACACGTACAGTATTCTCAGATGCTTGCCCTAGATCATCATAGCTGTTGCATTGGTATGTGCTTGCCCTGTACTGACTCAACTAACTTTACCCTACCCAGGAATATGATCATGTGTCACTAGATGAGCATACAATCCATCCATCATATAACTCATCTCCTTATTCAAGTCAAGAAAGTCGGCCACATCTTCCGCCCTCTCTTGAAGACAGCTCCGTTATATTTCATGTACCTGCTCATAAATGAATTGGTCTAATATCCAGCGAAACGGGGAAAATGTAAGTAAATTGATTATCAAAAGAAATACATAATTGTAAATTGCCAGAAAAAGACGGGTCATACCCAGGGTGGGAAGAGTGCTACACGCAGACTACGCAAGAGGCTTCAAGTAGACATATTTCTCCTTGTCAGAAAACAGACAGCGGTGACGACCTAACGACGTGAAATATCAGTCGGCAGACTGAGCGTCGACCTGCAGCGCATCTAGGTCTGGGTCAAGGTTTCGACTATCAGTAGTAACAGTAGCATGGTGATCAGTGGCAAGTTGGATGAGAGTTTCCAAACAAGACTCCATGCTACTATCCGTGAACAGCGGAGCCACG